ATCCACCATAAATCGGAATCTCAATCACCTTCAAAGTCTTGTAAGTAATTGTTCCCCTTGCTATATCTCCAGCAGTTACACAATCTCCACCAGTTTCACAATCTCCACAAAATATGCCACCTAGTACCTTCTCGTCACCTTCCGCTTCGAATACTGTGCAGTCCACCACTCCTATAGTTGCTTCAGAATTTCAAAATTCTTCCACCACTAATAGCTACACCAATCCACCTGTCTATAACCATAGTCTAGTTGTTCCACCTATCGATATTCTCGGGCGATTTTATATCTTGGTCCACCTTTCGGGGTCTGTTCACCACCTTATTTATAAACCATTAACATATTTCGGACATTGAACGCCTCTGCCATTTAATACAGAAGACCACCGGTGAAGCTCGTGAAATCGTTTCCAGATTTCCACTCACTAATTCTAGTTTCCCTTTAGCGTGGAAAGCTTTGTCTGATACGTATGACAATAAACGAATTGTGGTAAATTGTCAGCTCAAATCCTTGTTTGAACTCCCCTCCATAGAAGCTGAAACTGTTTATGGCCTTAAAAATATCCAACGTGGGATAAATAGTTGCCTTGCTGCAATCCGTCACCACGGATCATTGGGATCCGATTGTTGTTTACATTTGTTTGCAGCGTTTGCCAAAATTGACTTTGACTCTGTGGAAGCAAAGTATCAAAAACAAATCGTCGTTGTCTTCTTGGAAAGAATTAGACGATTTCCTTACAGAGAGGATACAAACATTGATTTGTCTAGAACACATCCTCCCCTCCAAAAATAAGTTGTTGTTACCAAGGAATATGCATTCTCAAACATCCTCCAAGAAGCTGTCACATAATACCGCTATTCCTAACTCCCCCCATAAATTGTTGTCGGCACATCGCACAAAATGTGTTACCCCACCTCGAGCTATAAATTCACACTCCAAATCTTCTTGCTCCATTTGTCCTAATCAGAGCCATCATCTTCGATTCTGCCCCCAGTTTAAAACTTTCGTTTGAGGACAAATTCTCGATTGTAAAGAAAAATAAATTTTGTGAAAATTGTTTATCTCGTGGTCGTGGTTAAAACCTGCAATAGTAAACATAGGTGCACTACTTGCAAGCAAAGGCACCACAGCCTTCTTCACCGTCCACCAAATAATAAGGTTGTTGCTCCCTCCAAGTCACCTCCGGCTTTTACAAATGTCAAATGTCGAGGACAGACTTCGTTGCCTAGTTCTTCGGAAAAAAACCTTTTCCGGCTTTTACTAAAGTCAAAAGCCGAGCATATAATTTGTCGCACCCTTCTTTGAATAAGAAAGTTGTAAATCCACCGATACCTCACCCCTCCCAAGATACCAAGGTTCTCATAGGAACAGCAGTAGTAAATATAGTTCATAATGGAAAAACACACCCTGTTCGTGCCATTATTGATCCTTCTTCCACTGTATCTGTTGTAAGCCAAAATCTTAAAAATGCACTAGGCATTTCTGGTAATTCGAAGAAAGAGTATAACCCTGCTACACCAAGAGAAATGTGTTCTCTTAAATTGTCGTCCCCTAAGAATTCGTCTAAGATTGTTGATACAAAGGCATTTGTGCGGCCTAATGTTAAGGGGAAATTGTTTTCACATCCACCTATTGCAACTTTTAAATCTAAAATTCTTTTAGATTTAGCTGACTCCTTTGACGGCAGCCCAATAGATTTGCTACTTGGCGCTGGTCTTTACCCCCAAATACTGGAAGCCGAACCACCAAAATTAGTTTTAAGTTCGTTGTTGGCCCAAAAATCTATATTCGGGTATATCATGACCGGTTCAGTTCCATCCACCTAATCTCCCACCTATAAAAGAAACCGATCACCATAGTAAATAATATCATTTGAATACATAAATCACCCATCCACAAAACTTGTGTCGTTTACTAAATTTGGAACATGAAGCTCACTTGAAATCTGAATTTAATTGTTAATTGCTACTTTGTCGGTCGTAGCAAGGGTGCCGGAATGTATAAGTTTGATACGTTCTGACTCAACTTCCCGAGCTCAGTCAATCACGTCTGCTGATTGACACCACGGGCATCTCCTCTGCAAGTTCCCTCAGCGGATACCATAGAGTGCAGATGCCACCGAGCGGTGGTTGTTGCTGGTTTGCTCTCCTTACTCGACACTATTCTCCCATTGGAATATGTTAATGTAGTAGTAAACGACAACCGATCCTCAGCGATCACGGCAATCCTCTGTGATTGCATGAACCACAGCGTTCACTTGTCGACCAACCTCCTTAGATTTAACTTGTCGTCTAACCATAAGACTAACTTGTCGTTTAACCACCTTAGAGTTAACTTGTCGTCTAACCATAGAGTTAACTTAGTCGCATAACGTCTACGCGTTATTAATAGGTCTCAGCGCCGCCACCATAAATTACAAGAGGTAATTTGTTTGTTGTAATAAGGTAAAGATTACCACCAATAAATCCAAGATAATTAGAATAATTTAACTAATACTTTCTTGTGTTTTATTTATTTGCACTTTCTTTTCCATACACCATTAATTGCTTGGGAGTTCTCTTGTTGTCGTTTGCACCCCGCTCCCAAGAGTTAATTACTTGCCCACCCCAACCACCACATACATCAACACGGCGAGGAGTAGAGCACACTCCTCGCCTCAACAATATTAATGGTACTGTTTTATCAACTGTAGATTCATTTGTTGATCTTGGTATTTTAATGGATCCAAAATTAAATTTTAATAATCATGTTATTTCTATGGTAAGCAAAGCCCACGGTGTCTTAGGATTTATAAAACGATGGGCTAAAGACTTCTCTGATCCCTACATTACAAAACAACATTTTACATCTCTTGTGCGACCCATATTAGAATATGGCTCTGTTGTATGGGGTTCACAGTATACAATATCTTCCGATAAAATTTAATCAGTGCAGAAACAATTTCTAATTTTTGCACTGAGAGGTTTACATTGGAATAGTGACTTTGTGTTGCCTTCTTACACTAGCAGGTTAAAATTAATTCGATTGCCTACATTTAAAAGTAGACGTATTATGTTGAACAATATGATGGTAATTAAAATACTAAACGGTAATATACCCTCAGACTTCCTATTTTCATCCATTAGAATAAATTTTCCTTTTCGATTAAGTAGATATTATCAACCATTGTAAGTAGATTTTCATCGCACAAATTATTCTATGGGAGATCCTCTTAGTAAAATGTGTATTGATTTCAATTATGTGTATTTTAACGTAGACTTTGGCATGAATATAGAACTAATAAAATCTAATATAACTATATTTTTAAATGAATAATACAACTTAATAACAAACTGGCTGTTGAAGTAGATTTCTGTAGCTGGTTTTCTATCCCGTCTCAAATTCCATCATAATGCCGATTATGGTGTGTACGCGATCCCTGCGAAAGGGAAGTTCGCCCTCTCGGTCGGCAAGAGTGGGAAAAAGAGGCGTGGGAACGTACGAAACAAAAAAAGATGTTCCATATTCTTCAACTGGGGGTGCCGCCGGGAAGTGGTCAGCATGGTCATGATGAAATCCTTGGCCCTTTCTCTATTCTGTTGACGACAATTGAAGAACGAATGTTCGATCTGACTAAGGTGCCGTTTGCATAGGTTGGTCGCCGTAGGTACTTCTATTGTGGTCTCAGAGTAAATTCTCGACCGATGCCCTGGTTCGTTCCTCCCTAATGTGTCTGCTGAGCTGTTTCCGAAGATGGTCGACCGTATATCCTTCGGTTTTGATTCCAGCTGTATGACACCTTCGTATCAACTGATCCCGTTTAAGAAGATAGATCCAGCTAAGAGATTCGGGGGTAAGGTAGTCGTGTATTTCCAGCGTGGGGCTGGTTACGAGCGTGGAGGTGGGTATGAGCGGGGTGCTGGCTGGGAGCTGGCTACGAGCGTGGAGCTGGCTATGAGCGAGGAGCTGGCTGTGAGCAGGGAGCTAGCAAAGAGCGTGGTGCTGGCAAAGAGCTGGGAGCTGGCAAAGAGCGGGGAGCTAGCAATGAGTGGGGAGTTGGCAAAGAGCTGGGAGCTGGCAAAGTGCAAGGCCGAAGACTTTTGTTAACTGACGAGCAACTATGACTGCTATGTGACGGTCACGTTACAAAATGCAAGTTAGCATTTTCAACAATTGTATTTATAACGGGTATTTCCTGTTCGCCAAAATCATACCAATCAGGAAGAAATCACCAGGTAATAGTTTAGAAGCCAATCATGCATATATATGTATTCGAAACGCATCGGGAAAGTGTCCAAGAAATATGGTTCTAGAATTGAGAAAGATATTTCTTGGTATTGAGAAATATATTTCTTGGTCAGAAACGTCTTATTTATCACCAATGGGGATCCTCAATGAATCCCACGATGATACAAATGGTTATTCACTGCCACTCTTTTACACCAAATCTGTATAATTCTATCCCACAGATGATAGAAATTATTTTATTATATTATATGCACCGTATAAACTTAAGGTAAGGTCACACTAGGCAAATATTTCACGAAAAGTGTCTAATATTTCTTTGCCATAAACTGACCACAAAATATTTTCAATGGCAAACACAAAACACCTGATTTTGGGCAAACAAAATTATTTGACAGCAAATCAAATTTTGAGTGACTTGTCAACAATGTGAACGCCGACTAGCAACCATTTGCCTTATTTTTGGGCAAACATTTATTTGCCCTTACAATATTTTTGTAAGAGCAAACAAAGGAAAATAACAGCTGATGCATACATTATTATTATTTGTATACAGTTTGTTATTGTTTTCTTTCTTATTTTATAATATGTACCATTATTAAAAAGATGTTTTTGTTGGTTTTATTTCAAAATGTCATAAAATTATATTTTTATTTTGTTTATATTTTTTATAAAATTCTTGTCCATTTCTATTTATATTATGTTTTCTCATGAAAAAAAATCCTCATTAACATATTGGTAAATAGTGGCTGTTTGAAATTTTTATGCTGCTGTTGCACCTCCACCACTACGACCTTGATTGTAACGTTGATTGTCACTACCATTACCGCCATCACTGCGGTTTCGTCCACGCGGATCTCCCCGACTGTAACGAACTGAATCAATATCACTTTCCGAGCCACCAGTTGAAGGGAAATTTTGCGCAGAATCCACAGAAGATTCTTGGATGGCTCGTAGGTGATTGATTTCTAATTTGGCTAGGCGTATTTCTCCAACTTCCTAGAAAACAAATAGTGATACAAGACTATATTATATTAACTTCAGATTTCAAAATGCGTGCATACAGCCCACCTTTAAAGCGGTGTACACACTATCATTTTTGAATGACACTCTTGCTGAAATATCGGTTTGCTTGCCAGTGTGGCCGTTAATTTCTCTCAGTCATCAGGCAACCACAAAAAATTAAATGCAACGGTGTCTCTGGGACATAACCAGTCCAGAGTACATGTCACGCGACATTAAAATGAAATCGTATGGAAAACTGCTACATAAATTGAAAAAGTATAAAAAAATTTTGAAAAAGAAAATCAACACAATTCGTTCGTTCTACAGAAGGGATCTCTATAAAATAAAGCAGTTTGAAACTTCTGGAGCGGACAATATTTACCAGGCGAAGATTTGGTGGTTTGAGTCGTGCACATTTCTCCAGAGCTATGAGAAACCAACCGATAGCATATCAACACTGAGGAGCTGGTTCAGGGACTACGTCTGCAGTGGGCCAAGAACAAGAAACATGTCAAAAATGGCTATCGCCTGGAGAAACAATTGCGCTACAGCCGTTCGAAGAAAATGCCTTTGGAATTCACCGCTGCCAATCGTATCAACTTCGATAAGTCCATCAATTTGGCTGCCTGCATGAAGGAGAATTTTCAAGATGAACTTGAATCGTTGGACTTCAGAACCAAAGCCGAAGAGGGACGCATGGAAATCAACAACTAGATTGCAAATGTAACACGCAACGAAATCCCCGAAATGTTAAATCCCTGTGATGTTACCTCCGACAGTCAAATGGTTTTGGATAATGCTTCCTATTTCAAGGTTCAATGGTCGGATAAATTCGATTCCAAAGATACAAAACAGAAGATTTTCTATACCACTCCTAGCATGTTGCCAAAATCAAGGTAAATGAGGAGGGCAGTACTGCTGCAGCAGCCACAGTTGTTTTCCGTTTCCGTTCCGTCCGGCCGAATCAACCAAATTCGAATGTAATCATCCATTTATGTTCCTGATCTATGATAATGATAAAAAGTAGACAGGCAAGGAGATTATTTCACATTTCTCTGCCCTAGGACTTTTTTACTCGTCTCGTTTCCATTCTATTTGTTTATTTATTTTTCATCTTTCAATTTAATTTCTACTGCTGCTGCTGCTAATACTACGACATTTGCCCTATTCTCTCTGTCTATTGTTTTATTTATATAAAATAAGGACGTGCTTAATTTTCGTTTTATATGTTTTATTTTTTAATATTATCTTTTATTTTGTTTATAATAATTATTTTTATTTTATCTGATTAGTTTTTCTGTTCATTTCGAATAAATTATAATAATAATAACAACAATGACCGTTAGGGTAATTTATACAACAACAAAATGAAAAAAGGAGGTAGATACATGGTTCTTTTTGAAAACATGCACAGATTCACTTTCTGAGTAGATTTATGCATGTCCGTCGTCTGTTGATGTTAAATTGTAAACAAAGTATGGGTCACATTTATGATCCGAATGACAATTTTGAGCGAATTGTATTTAAGCTGATTTATCAAAAAAAAAAAAAAAAAATCGTCCATAAAAATGGTCAACAACAATCTCACAAAAAATTGTGAGACCGAGATTTCATTAAAAAACCAATAAAATTCGAAGCCTATTTTTGATTATTATTATTAAAAATTCACATCCAATTTTTTTATCATCCATTTTTATTAATATATTTCTTTTTTACGGCGTCTTATTAGCACAATTTATAAATTTGAATATCGAAACTGTCACTCAAAAATGATAGTGTGTACAACGCTTAAGTAAGCCAAATGATAGTCCAGCAATACTTTGGCATTAACAATACTTTCAACGGTACCAATGAACACAAATGACACATGACCCGGATCACGTTATATAAAAGTATCGTCACCAGCAATAACCTTAATCCAAAATACTTTTTTGATCTCTGGAATTTCCTTCAACCTCACAACATACACAATCACGTACTCATTCGCGAACCCGCGGTCTTTTCTTGTTTTTTTTTGTTAAACTTCTTCTTCAATACAATAATTGACGCTGCTCCTCTTCCATAATTTCTTGGAAAATATCGACCAAATATTTGTTTGTTTTTTGACAGTTTGATCAAACTGTTTTATTGTGCGAATATTTGCTCAAATGTGACCACACGTCAAACATGTTTTCTCATTACGTTATTTGACACTATTTGAGCAAACAAAATGTGTCAAATATTTGAGTGTAATGTGAACACAAAATCAAGAGTGCACAAATTTGACGTTTTTTGGGCAAACAAAATAAAAGACATTTGAGAAACTTGTCCCATCCCTAACAATTGAGAGGCGGGAGAAAAGCTCAAGTGGAATCTCTAAATCCATCTGGCCTTTGATCTCTAGGCGTAGATCAAATTCATTAATCTCTATTGGCAAAAAGTAGATGGAACTGACTGTAGGGGTAATTACTGTATACTAACGCATCACTATTGAGAACGGCTGGACCGATTCGACTCAACATTTCTTCCAGTTGTCGGAAATTACAGTGGGAAGGGTTTTATGAATGAAAATTTTGAGAAAAATCCGCGAAAATCTTGCAAAAATTATTTTAAAGAAACGGCTGGACCGACTTTCTGTTATTAGTCTGTAATTGAAGCGGACAGGATTTAATGAAAGAACATTTTGAGAAAAATCCGCGTATTTCCACTCACTTTGTATCGAAACTTTATGGTTTCATCTTTTCGTATTTTTTATTGATATAAACTTAGTGGCAAATGTTTTTATCAACCTTATATTGATGCAATATTGACAAACAAAACAAAGTTTTTCGGGTCAGCTAGTATATATATATATATGTATACTGCCCTCTAACTTACTCTTTCCATTTCTCTTCCCTTTCGTTTTTTCTCTTAGGATGAACACAATGGTCCATTGGTCTCCGGGTGAAGTGGCCGTCAATTTGACACGCGTCCTTTAACCTAAATAGCTATGGGATCTTAGTATATTCAGGGAAAAAAAAAATAATTTTTTCTATTTAAATTCATGCACACAAAAAAGTTAAAATTTCGGAGTAAAAAACAACAAGTTTGAAAAAGCAAATTCTGATGTAGGTAATTCTGAGAGCAAATTACGTTGTTCGAATGCTCGTCAGAACATGGTTAACCCCCAATAAGCAAAAGCGATCAAATTTTGTTGAAACAACACTAATAAACACTTAATGCGGCTATATAGACACGGTTAAATGAACTATTAATTTGGTTTAAGAGACACGCACAGAACACTTGTATGTGAGCAGTTGGTTGTAATAAATACACCAACATATTTAATACTGTTTGTTTGATTTAGTTATTCATTGTTGATGCTTATGTGCAACTCACGTGGCCTCCGGCAGAAATGTATAGTGTTGACTTTACCCATGTTGAAGGAGAGGTTTAAATCGGCACATTTGTTGTTCATTCCACACATTTTTGATAGGCAGTAGCAGAGTGTGTGTTTGTTAGAGTGAAGGTGGTGCTGCCATCATTTAAACAGAAGATGTTGTATTCATTTATATGAGGTTCGTTCCTGAACCTAAAAGAATCTACTATTTTTACAAGTTTTGCAATTTTTTACTCGAAAACCGTTCCTGAACCCACAAAACTGGTGAAACGTTGAACCAAATTTAAGAGAACACAAAACAAAATGGCTATCTAGATTTGCGTTCCCGAACTTTACAAATTATTTTGTACTCTGAGAGCAATTTAGAAATATTTCTCTTTTACTAGCTTTACTATTAAAAAAGTACTGAAACACACCAATGCACACTGGTTCCACTTGTATGGGATGGAGCGACAAAAATATTTCTAATCAAGCTATGGATATGAAATTTTGAGTATAGGTTCGTTGTGGGTAAAAAACATTTTATAGAAACATGGACGATGTAGGTCCACATTTTAGTCAAATCGGATTGGACCGTTATATGGGAGCTATATAACGGTCCAATCCGATTTGACATATTTTGAAGATGTTAACTACATATTCCAACACATGTGATTGAACTTTGGTATTTTGAATACTCAGTGGGCAAGGCAGCAAGCACACTGAATGTCAATAAAATTGTTCTTGAAATTAAGTATTTTGACTTTTATTTGGCTCCAAAAAGTAAATGTTTTTGATCGAAGAATATTTTGATTTTTAACCAATGCCACAGTGCACTATAGGTAATTTGGACAGTTTTTTTTTTTTTTTGGCAAAAAGTCACTTTTTCATTTTTGGAAAATAATGTCTTTTTTTGATGGCATTAAAAAGAAAACACGTCAAAATTTATGATTTTGTGTCTTGAAAGCGGCGGAAATCGTAGACAAACACTACACTTTGAAAATAAAATTAAAAAAATAAAAGAATTTTAAAAATCAATGAGTATTTTAAAAAAATTTTTAATTGTTTATTAAATATATAATATTTGTTAATACGTTTGTGTAGCGATTCAAAATTTACATAGTTGATTATAATAAAAGAAAGTTGTTTATTTTTTACACATAAGTTATTTAGATAGACCAATATGTTTCAAATTGCGATTTTTTGCGTTTTTCATGATATATCAGTTTTTTGTAGGGAACTTCAGAATAAAAAACAATAAAATTTTCGATATTTGGTTTGATGAAATAAATAAAAGCAGGGAAACATATTGTTGTTTACAACGTCCCCACAAGTAAAGTTGGTAATATTAACAATATGGACGAAAAATACGTCAAATTAAAATAGGACATTTGTCAAGTTGGACCGAATGATATAGGAAGATAGAACTTTTCCGCGAAAAAACCAATACACACGAATTTTGATTACGAAATAAATAGCGTGACTCGTAAATCGCAAATAGGTTGTCAAAGGAATGATTATGAGAAAAAATCTAAAAATTGGAGAAGAGGAAATGGTGGGCTTCAGTTTCCCTTATAATATAAACCATCAACAAATTAATTTTTTCAGCAATGATTAAAAATAAAAAGTTTACATATTAAAAAAATGTTGTTCGCTATATCAAGTGTTTACTATAACCGTGCTCTCCTGAAGTAAGCATGGTTTTAACTCACTTTTACGTATTAATAACTTTAATGAGTATAAATGGGTAGTGAA